AAGGCTTCTGGTTTTGTTTTCACACGTGAGCGTCGTTTCGCTCCAGGGGTCTGACCCACAGAGAGGAAGGCTAGCAACCGGTCAGCGTTCAGCTGGCAGCAGTGCCACCCAGAGCTGCCAGCCTTTAATTTATGCTTCAGTCAGTGGCACCAGAGAGTCCTGGCTGACGACGGGAGCAAATGGTGCCGGGGAGGAGCAAGCGCCTGGCTCTCCGCGAGCTGGGACCCAGCCTTCGCGGGGGCACTGGGACCACCGAGGGAGGTGGGACCAGACCCCGAGTGCCCGCAACAGGGAAAAGCAGCCTGAGAGCCAAAACCAGTGAATGGTCTTCATCTACACACGAGGCAAAAGGCAGACCTACCAATGCGACGGGAGCCAGGAGGAGACCCAGCTTCCCTGGCCTCAGGTGAGCTACAGCTGCAAACATGCTTTCATTTCAGAAAATTCCATTCTTTTTTGGGCTGTTTTGGAACAGCACCTTTTCTTTCCCTTAGCAGCTGGGACTTCAGCTTATTTCAACTCTTAGGGTACCAGAGAGAGCTCAGCTCGAGTCCTGAGAGCACGAAGGAAGCGTCAGTCCGGCTCCTCTTCCTCACGCGCTCATTTGGGACAGAGCTTTGTGCCGCCCCCGGCGCTGGCCCCGCAGCATGGAACCTGCCTCCCGGGAGCGTTGCTCGGAAAGCCAAGCAAACTGTCAGCAACACAATCCCAAACTGTCTAACGCCCATGGGTGCCTCAGGCGCCCTCCGCTCCTCACAGGATTTACCAAATTGCCTGGTGTGCACCGTGGACTTGTCGCAGTGGGAAAAGCAACAACACAGACCCGAAGCTGGTTTCTTGCTGGGCTGTGCATGCCATGCTCAGGACAGCGACAGGCACATGGACCTCTGCTTCCCCGTGCTCCCAGCCAGTGGCAACAAGCCTGCCGTAACGCGCCCTCCTGGGCTACAGCAGGGTCAATCATCGCAGTCTGAGAAATCCTCTTAAATCTTATTTAATTGCTGCACTGCACTTGTCCAGAATCAATTATGAGGCACCTGATGCTGGCGATGCATTTGGCGTACCTATCCGCGTGATGTGTGTGGTCAGGCAATCGCGAAAGCAAACATCACCTTGATTTTGGGCAAAGAATAAAATTACACAGGAGAAATGTCGTGTGGCGACACGTCTCTGAGTGGCT